TAGCTTTACCACATCATACCTTGTCATATTTACCTGTTAGATAGGTACCTATTCATATCTTAATGCATTATACTTTTTTAGATTTACGCAAATATTTGACATTTTAAATAAAACTATCAATATTATTTTAGCCAATATCATAAACACTAGTGAACCGATTTTGATGAAATCGATATTATTCCCTAAGTTGAAATAAATGTAAGCAAATAATCCCTAAGTTGAAATAAATAAAAAACGAATGATCACGATCCGACTAGTTTCGGAGAAATGAGAATTAATGAATGCACGTATAAAATTTTGTATATTTGCTTGGAAGCTATAATAAATAATATGTGAATATTTTGGAGTTCCAATAATATTACATACATACATGTCGAATTGATAACCTCCTTTTTTGAAGTCGGTTAAAAATTCAAACCGACTTTGCGCTTAACAGAACATATCTTGAAAACTACTGAAGCGATTTTTATGAAAATTCTACTGTTCTTTAAGTTGAAAGATGCTTAATGTAATAAAAAGTGTGTGTGTACTTCTATACGCACGTAGGAATTTACACTTTTTTAGCGTAACAAACCAAAAATAACTAAAAATTTGTAGGATCCTGGTGACGATTAATTGACGACTCCGTGGCGCAGTGGCTTAATAATGAGTTGCAGCGCTAAAGGCCGCGGGTTCGATTCCCGAACGGAATAAGTATTTGTATGGCCTACAAATAATTGGACATAGTTACGCAAAAAGGATCCAATGTAATTTGTGTCAAAAATGAAAAATAATGTTTGTGGTGTATACTATTACGTGATGCAACAATTTTAGCAAAAGTAATACAAATAAAAAAAATGTCCTACATCATATCCATACTTATTTAAGTATAACAGCTATGTGTATGTGTAATATGTATAATAGTTATAGGTGTGGCGGCTGCGTCCGCCACGTTAGAAAAAGTCGCAAATATATCTCCGTTAATACGACGTGTCTTCATTTATTGCAACCTTAATTGTACACCTTAGTGAATTTAGCAAGGAATAAATGTATTAATTAATTAAACCAATACAGTATTCATAAGACTGTACAAGAAGAAAAATTACAAACACACACACAAACCATACAGATCCATTCTTCAAATTTCATAACTTCAAATTAGCTTTCTTTAGGGATGGATACTTTTTGCATCACCACGTCCAATTGTTCTAGGTCTGTTTCTAGGTAATGTTTATCCTTGTGAAATCTATGTATGTAAACGTCCCCTGCGATACAGGAGAAAATCTAATTATAAAAGTAAATTTTGTAGAGATAACGTTTTTAAAAACACACACATATATATATATAATTTTTTGTATTTATTAAGATTTTTAAACCTTATTATTCTTACTTTTTACTCTTAATATTGATTCACAAAATATCACGTATACATCAATCACGTCTTTTGATGGGTAAATTTAACCTCTTTTATCTTTATAAAAATATAAATAAATATATTAACGATTTTACATCATTATGCTGAGAAGTCATACTGCGATACAATCTCCACGCTTAAGTTTGTTTAGCAAAACTCTTCCTCTCTATCCACATACTATATTGCAAAACAATGTTCTTTTCTTATGTGCATGGAAAAAAATCACATAATACTAATATACTTTGAAGTGGCAGAGATTATATAATATATATGTTGAATTCCTTTAGATCGAGAGCCGTGGTAGCTCAGATGGTTAGCGCTCGCTGTAAGCTTTACAGTACTAGAGCAACCCGGGTTCGATCCCCGCCGGCACCAATGAAATTGTTAATTGCAATTTTAAGTGCTGATTTACCACGTGCTCGGCGGTGAAGAAAAACATCGTGATTCCTCACCTCACCTGCATGTCTGAGAAATAAGAAAAAAAATATTTCGAAGATATGTAAAGTTCGCCAACACGCATTTGGGGCAGCGCGGCGGACATTTCCTTGCCCTAAGACCCTCTCCTGTCTGTCTCCTGAGGCCTGTGCCCAGCAGTGGGACGTAAATAGGCTGCACCTTTACTTTACTTGACTTTCCTTTAGATCTATCATATACTTTCTTTTGAGAATGTACATTTTCTAACTCTTTGTCTGTTACTCTTCTTTTTAATTTAGATATTTTTAACATTATCGTCTTTCTTGGTGTCACTTCAATACTACTGATTGGAGTAGTATAAGCAGATAAGCTAAGTAGAGGTTCAACTCTGTATTGATATGTGGATGATCTATTTGGAAGATCAACCTGGAATTCAAACAAATTAAATGGACAAGGCAGACTTATTGGAACGAAATTCCTTATCGAACGGTACGAATTTGGCGGATGGGGGCTAGGCGAAAAAAAATGTAAGAATTTTCCATCACGACCCTTTCTGACGTATAAAAAAGCGAGATAGAATAATATCCATCTCCCTCGCACTTTTTCTAATCTTGCCATGAAAGAAATATTATTTTATTTTAAATGACGCTTAATTTTAATAGACGCTAGTAATTCATTGTATTTGTTAATCAATAATATAATACGTTTATCAATAATAATAATATAATATACTACGAAATGTACTTTGTTCCAACCGAGTGTTCCACGACACTGCCGCATGTTTTCTTTACATTACTAATGAAATTCAAGGGCAATCTGACATATAATCTAGTTTAACAATAATATATAGAAGAATATTTCAACTTCTATACAATTATTTTATCTACACAATCCTTAACGTATGTAGTAAGATATTAAGAACATCATATAATGTTATGAATGTAATACAAAGTTTATGAGCTATTTATTTTGAAACACCCATATTCCGAGTTGTATGTACTACTACAGTTGATAATTCAATTGCAGCGCTGGCGACCACAAAACGTATTTTTTAGCTTATAACTTTAGAGCACTGCGTTCGATAGATCATACGAGTAAAAGAGATGGCATAGAACAATAAATAATAACATTATGATTTTGTGATAACAATATTTTAGAAACGTTTATTTGACAAATTTATTGTATCGTAATTATAACGTTATATACATGCAAACCTTTGCATAATATCGTTTTGACATATCGTTTCTCTTAAACATAACGTTATCTCGCACTTGCGCAGATAACGTTACTGTATTTTAACGGTATTTAAGTCCCTGGTTAGATAGAGATAATGAAAAATTTAAATAATTCAATAACTAAAAATGTTTATAAGAACAACGCTTAACCCTAGCTGCCTGATGACACCCAAAAGAACCAATATATTAACAATTGGTCAACTCTAGTAACTCGAGTTGGATCTCCCTAACTCAAGTTTGGGCTGGCTGTACATGAACGAACCAAACAAGCAAGCGAAAGAGTAAGGGTGCAATTCATTCATTGTGTGCATAGATAGTATTTTTTAGAATATTATTTTTTTGCTGAAAATACTTAAGTATTTTAATTTACAAATTATACTTTGTTTCCTCATAATTAATGTTTACATAACATTGAAATTTATACAATAATGAAAAAAAATATAATAAAAAAAAACTAAAACTAATAAATTAGATTATCATGCAGTCCTACTCCCGTGGTATTGTGCCAAACATGCTGGCTGCATTTCCTCGCTCAATGGCTATAATCACTGAAATACTAATGAAAATGCAAAGGGATGCAACATCTCTTCGCAGCACCAGTGGATTGAGCCGATCAGAGAGGATTAGGTCATTGACAATTCGAGCCGCAAAACCATTTTTTATATATTTAGAAAATACTTCATTCAAATACTTTTAACTAAGTCATCCTATATTGTGTTAAGAAATTAACCGAATGCAATAAATGAAGAAAGTCAAGAAAGAGTATATTTCAGTACTATCTACTAAGTTTAGTAAGGATAGTTGTCCCAACCCAACATAGATAGTTAGGTTAGTACATACATATCACTTTTTAAATAGATAAACAAATTTAAAAAGTAATAAGTAACAATTAATTTACTCTGCTACGTCTTGCTAACTCGAGTTGCGATATATTTTAAAATAACACACGTAAATGTTACTAAAATATTGTCTATACTGAAGTATTATAAATCTATAAATCAATCAGTGATTTCTTACATTATTCACGGGTGAAACTGTGAGGCACAGCTAGTTTAGAATAAAATGCTTTACTAAATGTTCAACTAACCACAGTGAAAGTAAATTACAATAAAAAAATTGTTACATAAATCTGTTAATTAACCTTGAAGATATTGAAATACATACATGAAAAACTCTGAAATTGATATTGAATGTAAGTGTGAAACTAAACCTTAGTCTTTTGGAATCAGGTTCTTTTTTAGAAACAAAATAAATGCTTCTAAATATTTAATACCTCTAATTCAATAAACTTCTGTTGTAACTAAGCCAGAAAAATAAATCATGGTTTCAAGGTTATCTTTCATATACAGTGAGACTGTAACAAATTTCAGAAACACTTGATTACTACATGAGTGAGATCTAGTGATTAATTTCCTTTTTACAGTGCAGTTTTTTAAAGGCAAAAAAATATAAATCTATGTTTTACCTTTTACCTAAAACCCATAGCTTTAAAAATATATTCATAACATATCATCATCCATTCATCATTACAGCCTATCTAAAATCCACTGCTCAAAACCAAAGTTGCCACACTTGTTAGGTAGATGGCAACCATAGTTTTGTTTTATTTTGTTTGGAGATGCAGCTGCTCGTGTCCTGATTCATTTCTCTATGTGGCCTCTCATCACAGAAACCCATGGGATGACATAAGGTAGTGGATACCCTTTCACTTCCACTACGTGTAATTTCATCACATATTAGCACTAAAAACCTAATGAGAAATCAATACATCATACTAAAAAGTCCTTACTGTTATGCTACATCTAAATTCACAAACACAAAGCCACCAGCAGGTTAAAAATTTCATTGCACTACGCACTTCAATATGTAATGACACTTTTTAATATAGTTATTATGATAAAACCTCAAATATTTAAGCATAATAAGTATTAAAAATAATAAAATTTAAGTATACTTACAGCCATTAATATTCTTTGGGTATGTCACATTGAGCTGAGCTGCAAACTGCACGAGGATACATGTCACATTGCTGGTCTTGTCGGTGTATGCCCACTTGCCTTGTGATGGGGGTGGTAGTGGACCAGGCGCCGGCGTGGGCTTCGGCTCAGGAGTAGAAGTAACAGTAGTAGTAGGTGGCACAGTGGTAGTGGACACTGTGGTAGTAGGGACTGGCTCTGGTGTAGTTGTGTGTTTAGTAGTAGGCACAGTAGTGGATGTCGTAGTTACAGGACTCGGTGCTGGAGTGGGGTCCGGCTTGGACGATAAGAGGGTAGTCATTGACGACGGTTCATGAACATCCACAGGCGTGTCGTCGGAATTTGAAACTGGAATCAAGGTGGGTGAATTTTGTGACGCAGCCCGTGAAGGAAGGGGGATAAGAACCGGCTTCTCTGTCGTTATACCTCCTTGACCTATGGAAAAAGAGGGTAAAATTGATCTTATTGAAATACAACAGTAGTAGTAGATAGGAATCAAGACCTCTCAACCTCTAATTGCGCAAATCGCTTTCAATCATCATTGACAACGCAAAAACATCACAACGCATCGGATTGGACTACGTAACGCGATAAAAGTACCTAACAAAGAACTTGCAACACGGTATCTCAATTCACAATAGAAACTTACCTATTACTATAAGACTGCATATCACTGTTAAGAATACACAAAACCTAAGCAAAGCCATTTTACAGGCACTGTACAAGGATATAAAACCTAAAGCAAATAATATTCAAGAAAATTCTAACGAGTGAATAGCAAATACAGATTTTTTAATCCGATGCTTTCGGCCACAGACTACAAGTACTAGATCATGTACTTTCAGCAGAATGAAAAACACAAATGTCAACATAAATGTCAATTTGGATTTCTAGGCACGTCTATCTGAAATCGATTAATTGAGGTTAAGGAATCGATTTTTAAGGTGATCTAAAACGCCAGACCGATTCAATGAATCGATCCAACAGCCAGAGAGAGCCAAGCCACTATTTAAGATAATGTGTGCTATTTTAAAACATATCTTTATATATGTGTTATAATCTTCGAATAACTTAAGCTCATACATACTGAATAATATGTACCAATTTAATCATCAAGTAATAGATACTGTTACTATTTTAATGCAATACCAATACAATAAAAAGGTTATTCGTAAAATCTTTGGATGCATTGAAACTTCCGAAACTTTACTTATTTTATCTGTGATTTATGAAAATGCAATACAGGAACATTACATTTTAACTGACAAAGCAGTAATTCTCATTATAACTATCCTAAAGTCTACTCTTTGGCACCTATTTAAAAATTATTTTTCAGTTGTAATAAAACTAATTTTATTTATTTTAACATGTGTATTATTCACGTAAATTAATATCGAAATATGAACACAATGAACACTGCTGGCCGTATGAGGAAGCTCAAGATCACTCAGGGAGCTATGGAGAGGGCTATGCTCGGGGTTTCTCTGCGTGATAAACTTAGAAATGAGTATATCCGCAGTAGAACCAGAGTAACCGACATAGCCCAACGGATTAGTAAGCTGAAGTGGCAGTGGGCCGGCCATATAGCTCGAAGAACCGACAACCGATGGGGAAGAAAGGTTCTTGAGTGGCAGCTTAGTACCGGTAGGCAAAGTGTAGGGCGACACCCCACTAGATGGAGTGACGACCTGGTAAGACATGCAGGAAGTCGATGGATGCAGGTGGCTCAGGTTCGTGCTTTGTGACATTCCTTGGGGGAGGCCTTTGTTCAGCAGTGGACTTATGAAAGGCTGTAATGATGATGATGATGATAAATGAACAATAATAAGAAATCATTATTGTTATTCATTGTTCAATATAATTTGGTACAGATACATACACAGCAAGCTTTTGTTTTATTATTGGACGACAAGAATTTTGCGTAAATGTTGATAATGTTGTTGATATTTAAGTATGTACGTATACGAATTTGTAATATTTATTGTACGTTTAAAAAAAATAATGAATGTATCGATGACTCTAAAACCAATCTTGTAAGATTACTCAAGAATCGATTCTATTACGCTCATTTTAACATCGAACTGAAAATCGATCTTACGGTACGAGTCGACAACATGACTAGTTCTTTCTAACGGTGTTGCTAGCATTACAACCTGACATATTACTTTAAACAGAATAAGCTTTGTTGCTTTTTTTTAATAAGAATAAAACTCAAATGCATTTTTATAGTATAAAAATGTTAATTTAATAAAAGCAAAAGATTTATATAACTTAAAATAAAGATATAAATTTAAAAAAAAAACGCTTATTGTGACTTTCAAAATTCTATCCTTACAGTTCTATTCATAGTTAAAATAAAAATAGAACTGTGTCTAAGTAAAACTAGCTTTTTTAACATTTATGGTTTTTTCAAGAATTTGTTTATTATTAGCATATACCCATAGGAGCTATGGGGTCCGGGTCTCTTATAAAAAAATCTTTATAGTATGTCGGAAAATATGATAGCTACGAGTATCTTAATAAATGACGAACTGTTATAGTGTCATCAAAAGTAAAAAAAAGTAAAGTAGCAGCCTACAACCTACATAGGTCTCATGACTGTCTACTGGCCTGCTCCCGTGGCATGAAATCTTACGGAGTGCTACATGGCTTTCGTATATGTTAAACGTTGTTAACTGTAGACCACATTATATCTATAATATTTTTTATCTGTATATAATTACTAGCATAGACTTAGAATATACTGCGTACAGGGCCCGATCTGGGGGGGGGGGGGGGGGGGGCGATTAGCCATCCACCACCCAATAGAATAGAATAATTTTTTATTCAATATAGATTACATGTCATTCTCTTTGCGTATTTTATCGCATCTATCACGGGGAGTGCTCTGAGGAATTGTTCGGACTAATTCCAGCCGCTCAATTTCACCATCGTACATCGCGACAAAACTCGCGTTACCATCCATACCATCTGGATGATTGGCGGTCCACCACTGTGCGATTTAGACGAAGTTTTCTCCCTCGCACAACTTCCTTTTGGAATCAATTACCACCAGCGAATTTTCCGGACCGATACGACTTAGGAACCTTCAAGAAAAGAGCTTACACCTTTCTAAAAGGCCGGCAACGCATCTGCAATTCCCCTGGTGTTGCGGTTGTTTATGGGCGGCGGTAGTCACTTACCATCAGGTGAGCCGCATGCTCGTTTGCCCCCTCTTCTATAAAAAAAAAACATGTGTAATTCTTATTGAAAGTCATTTTTTACTTTACCACTGGTTCGAAAAACCCTCTGTCCTGGGAAGAACCAGCAAGAAACCCAGCGGAACTTTTTTTTTAAAGTAAATTTTACATTAATAATTGTACAAACTATTTACAGAATTTATTTTAGAAACTGCTTGGAAGCATATCTATCTATACTATAATAACCCTTTTTATACAATTTTAGCTTAACAAAACATTTAAACTTAGTAATAGGAGAGCCTGTACACATTCCGGGACCTTGTTCTAATAGCGTATACATTGCCCCAAGAATGAATTACTGACTCTGTGCAGTCGAGAAACTGGTATCACTAGCTGGTGTTTGTTCGTTTTTTTTTTACTAAAACTACCTTTGCTTTTGTGAACATACATTAAATTTTCGTAAATATACTGAGAGGCCAAAGTTAATATATTTATTTCTTTAAATTTCTAAGAGACTCTCTCGGTTTTAGATTGTAAATAGCTCTAATGACCCTCTTCTGCAAAACAAAAATAGTTTCTAAATCAGCCGCATTTCCCCATAACATATCATATCTTAAGCAATCTTGAAAAACTTGGAAGGTTGAGAATTTAATGTGCCAACTTTCAACCTACTTCAGGTTGTATAGTGGAAATATTTAAGTATTTTACTAAACTGAATTATTTTAGTTCGAAAGAAAAAAAGAAGAAGTAGGGATCCGCAAATAGTACCGATACTTGAGTAGTATCGATACTTTCATTTCGGTACTAAGTATATTTGGCGCGATACTTTTGTTCCGATGTTTTTGAGGTTTCCAAACTTTTATAAGTACTCGATACTTTTAACAAAATTTGAGTCAAATCATTAGATTTGGGTCGTAGAAGTAGGGGATTACCCTTCTATAGACAAAATCTTATGTTCAGAGAGCGTGTGGTGCCAATTTCTCGTGACTGGTACCTATTTAGTAGATTTATTTTTATCTATTATTATAAGTAAAAAAAGTAAAGTAGCAGCCTCCAACCTACATAGGTCTCATGACTGTCTACTGGCCTGCTCCCTTGGCATGAAATCTTACGGAGTGCTACATGGCTTTCGTATATGTTAAACGTTGTTAACTGTAGACAACATTATATCTATAATATTTTTTATCTGTATATAATTACTAGCATAGACTTAGAATATACTGCGTACAGGGCCCGATCTGGGGGGGGGGGGGGGGCGATTAGCCATCCACCACCCAATAGAATAGAATAATTTTTTATTCAATATAGATTACATGTCATTCTCTTTGCGTATTTTATCGCATCTATCACGGGGAGTGCTCTGAGGAATTGTTCGGACTAATTCCAGCCGCTCAATTTCACCATCGTACATCGCGACAAAACTCGCGTTACCATCCATACCATCTGGATGATTGGCGGTCCACCACTGTGCGATTTAGAAGAAGTCTTCTCCCTCGCACAACTTCCTTTTGGAATCAATTACCATCAGCGAATTTTCCGGACCGATACGACTTAGGAACCTTCAAGAAAAGAGCTTACACCTTTCTAAAAGGCCGGCAACGCATCTGCAATTCCCCTGGTGTTGCGGTTGTTTATGGGCGGCGGTAGTCACTTACCATCAGGTGAGCCGCATGCTCGTTTGCCCCCTCTTCTATAAAAAAAAAAACATGTGTAATTCTTATTGAAAGTCATTTTTTACTTTACCACTGGTTCGAAAAACCCTCTGTCCTGGGAAGAACCAGCAAGAAACCCAGCGGAACTTTTTTTTTAAAGTAAATTTTACATTAATAATTGTACAAACTATTTACAGAATTTATTTTAGAAACTGCTTGGAAGCATATCTATCTATACTATAATAACCCTTTTTATACAATTTTAGCTTAACAAAACATTTAAACTTAGTAATAGGAGAGCCTGTACACATTCCGGGACCTTGTTCTAATAGCGTATACATTGCCCCAAGAATGAATTACTGACTCTGTGCAGTCGAGAAACTGGTATCACTAGCTGGTGTTTGTTCGTTTTTTTTTACTAAAACTACCTTTGCTTTTGTGAACATACATTAAATTTTCGTAAATATACTGAGAGGCCAAAGTTAATATATTTATTTCTTTACATTTCTATGAGAAACTATTCTAAATTTAACGGTGGTAGAGCCTTGCAGCAGCTTTTGCTGTTGCACGTATGGGCCGGCTCGAGCCGGGTTAGTACCACGACCTCACAGAATACCGGCGTGAAGTGGAAGCTCTGCTTCCGCGTTTTGTCTGGTGAGTGCAGGTGACCGGATGCCCAATTCCCCCCCCCCCCCCATGAACATGGTAGCGGAATTACGTCATAAACTACCCCAGGAGGGTACCAGTACCCCTGGAGAATCCCTCGCTGAGCATCCACGACCATGCTATTCCACTCCTGAGCGTGGGTGCTCAGGCTGCCCCGCGTATTCTGGGGGGGGGGGGGGGCAAAATTCCGCTCAACACAATAACTGCTCG